TCAATACCGCGCGCCGGTCGGCCTCGCCGTTATGAAATATTTTGACTGTATTTTCGAAATGGACGAAATGTATCCGAATATTTTATTTCCCACAACTTTAAATCGATTTAAATGAATCGGGCTACTGTCGCACGTTTAACGTTTCCCGCTTTGTTCGTAAACTCGCCACTCATCCAAGATATTAGATTTTTTAATTATTGCAATAAGCAATTGCTATTATTGCTAAAATAAGTAATATTATCTCGCGTGGTACATTATATCTCAAAATGGTAAGCGAATTACATTTAAATCTGTGAGAAATTCGAAGCGCAATGCGATACTTGAATTATATAGAGCATAACACATGGAGAAAATAGCTCAGTTATCACTCAATAATTATTATGAAACAGTAATCTGTAACTCTCGTTCTATACTGGTTCAATTTCGAAGGAACAACTCGTACGAGATTGATCTGCTGTAAGTGTATCGTTACGCCCACGGATCTTCAGCTGCGCGAGCTAATAATCGTTTATTACATGACACTTATGATATCTCAGACACAGGTGAGTTGCAACGAGTCTGGAAAAAGCAAAAATAATAAAGCCCACTTATCGAGGAATATTTAAAACGCAGCTGATAGATTATCCTTAGTTATCCTCGCGCGGTTACAGATCTGTAAACGTAACAATGTGACAATTGAGCAATTAATCGGAACAGACATTTCGCACGATTTACGCATTTAAAATCGAAATAAAAAAAATGGGGAATGTAATATATCGCTTCGCGCTAGTTAATCAGTGATAATTATTTAGTTCCATAATGACACCGAAATTGTCAAATTCGCACACAACTCACAGCGAAGTCGAATTTTTCATCGTTTTAAATGTAATTTGCTTGAAATTTTGAGATCGACAACGCGGAATAATATACGGATTAAATAAATCAACTAATGAAATGCTGTATTAAATTAACCGTTTAATGATAATGCAATAAACATTTCTCGAATTGTTCCGAATCGAGCCAACGTGACGATCTAATTTTCAAAAGCATCAATTTGTTATTTCTTTGACAAGCACATAATTCGTTTCTACATCAATGCTATTTATTTCGAAAACGTTTCCATATCGTTGAAATCATGACTCGTTGAAATCTTTCGCGTTTCGAAATTTGTTGCGTGCGAACTTGTGAAACATTGCGAACGTTTCACAAGCGGAGCTTTCTACAGTCGTACATCTTTTTCTTGTTATTTTATCGCCACGAAATAAATGCATTTAAATGGAAGTGCCGTGGAAAGTGTCTCCTGATAATTACATTTTGACAGTTACGTTTTGTATATTTTACAAATTATCTTTTGACAGTTCGCGTCGATAATCGGCTGTAATTGGTCATATTTTTGCGAGTGTTGTGTTGCGTGAGTGCAACGAAGGATCCTGAGAAGAGGAAGAGGAGGAGGCAGGCTGAGAGGCAGGCAGGCTTCGGCGGAGCAATCGTAAGGTGGACAAGTATTTAGTAAGTAATTTATACATTATTTTTTAAACTATATCGAATTATGCGCGATTGCGCGATTCGTAAATAATGTGGATGGCTAGATTCGTCGTGTTCGCATTCGTTGTTTGCCATTCGTGCCAATTCGCGCTGGCGGAGAGGTTTCTCCGTGAGAAATCAAAGGGAGCGAACCTCGTCTCTGTTCTGAATTTGCATAACGACGAGTATGTTATTCGCGTGTTGAAGCAAGATTTTCCCGGACGGGGACGTCATAAATCCAATATTTGTAACTTAATTTTAACGACGTTTTGCAACCAACTTTATTTAATGCAAAATTGTTTGCAACAACTATTTGAAAATCACGAGGGTTGACGTCATTTAAAATTAAGTTACATTATAGATGTTAAATTCATTGGATATCTCTGCGCGATGACATTTGAATTCAAATGCAAATTAATTCAGAACTGCTTTTTGAATCTCAAATAATAGTAATGTAAGGCACTCTGGCTAGTAGAATCGTTACTACCGTATATTTTATAGATATTTTCTCGCGTAACTTTATAGCTGTCTAACTTATGTGCTATCTTCATCTATCTCTTAACTCACTCTGAAATTCTGTCGATAATGAACAACACTACTATGAAAAATTTTGAGAGAGATTCGTAGAACGAATCTGACGGATCTGTCGCGGTGACTGTGCTAAATCGACCGATGCTTTGTGCCGCGAAATCGAATAGAAGCCGACATTTGTATACGGTAAGCGCGCGCGCGCGCGAGGGTACGTTTAAAAGTACGACGCTGAGGGATCCGGGCTTCGAGGGTGGGTATAGCGATTGAGCTCTCGAGCACTTGAACACGAGCTGAGAAGAAATGCGGGGAGAACAATGGACAGAGGTAACCAGGAGCTGGTGCTGCGTCATCGCGGTGGAGCTTGGGAGCCCGTCCCCCCCCGTACTCCCCACCGGGTCTTCGTCGCCGGTAACGAGATGCGCTCACGAAGAAGGGCTCACTCACCTTTCCGTGACCCGTCATGCGGACCGACCACCCACCCGGGTTCTTTCCCTCCGCGCGATACTCGCGCTCCTCCTCAGCGCCGCATTATCTGACGGTCGTATTAACGTCGACAGCGATATTAAATATCGCGTGTAACGTCCCTCTTCAGTCACTATTTCTGTTTAACACTAGAAACCGCCGCGCCGCTGGCAGCCGGTCTTTTTACCAGTCGAGCGTTTCTCCCCCCTACCGCTCATCTCTTGACTTGCATTACGTGTATCGTACGTAGAGTGAAATCGGAATCGAAAATCTCGTTTCCGTTCGTTACGATAATCAAAATCGCTCGTTTTAATCTTTCAATTGCGCTTAGAATTGCAGGGAATATTTTTAAACCGGTAAACGTGAGTCCCATGCTTGGTGGCACTTTTAGGCCCGGTTTCACAATTCGCGGTTAACTCAATTTAACCGAAGTTCAACTCACATTATCTTTTTCTAATCTAAGAATTAGAAAGAGATAAACAGTAAGTTAAACCGAGATTAAAGTTAATCTTACATTCGTGGCTTTAATCATTAATCGAACATGCCGCAACGTCTTCGTATTAGACGTCAATTTTTAAATGCAGGAGAGGATAGCACGAATTGTGCGGGCGCGATTTACATTCGATTAATAGAATTCGATCGATAGGATCGCGATAAAAGAAACTGTTTGAAAGACGAATCGCGTCTCTGAGAGGAGCGTAACCGAGCTTCGGAGAGTAGATCGGGGAAGGACGTCTGATCGTCGTACCGCTGCGGCGGCGACGGCGTGCCACTTGAAAAACAAAATAGGGAGAAAAATAAAAAGGAATTATCGGCAGCTGCTTGATCTTTCCGCGCGGTCTCGCATACGTCTTACAAACGATTCTCGGGCAATGCTTGATGCTTATTATTAAACACGACGGTAGCGTTATTCTCGGATATACACAGGGTGGGAGAGCGGGGAAACGGCGAAGCGCGCGGGAAGGTAAGAAAGAAAGCCACAGGCGGCGTGCACTTGGCTACTTGGCATTTACATCCACCATCCATTTCGCGCAACGGCTCTTCAGCGAGGCCTCCCCTCCTCCCCCCTTTTCTCTCCATCTTCAGGCTTTAGATGCCTGCGTCCGCGTGCACGAGTGCGCGCGTGTTTTTTACGCCAGTCGGCAAAGCGCGCGCTCCTCCGTGCGTGTCCCTCCGCGTATATGAAATGAGAGACGGGAACGCGCGGAGAGGAGGGAAAAAAAAGAGCGAAGGGAACGAGAGAGGCAGAGGAAGAGGGGAGGGAGGGAGAGAGAAAGAGACAAAAGGTAGAGAACTTCGGTGTGCGGTCATACGCGATCGCGCGAGAGGTGAGGGCGCACCTGGACCTTTCCTTTCCGCGTTTGCCCAAGGGCCCTCTTACTGCCTTCTTACTTCGCGATTCAACCGCCCAACAGACCGCCTCCAGTTACCGAAGTTTCCTTCTTCCACTTCGTCTCCTTTTCTTACCTACTCGTTGCGCGCGCCATCAAAATTCGCCCCGTCGCCGCGACATATTTTTGCATGCAGTCCTAATTCCAGCTCCCCGCGCTTCATATATTCTTTATAAATTCTCCTCGTGGCGTATGTGGGGTAAAATTCCACACGGATATTGTAAAGAAAATATATTGCGTTTCGTAAGAGAAAAATGCGATTAAAATTTTATAACATCCCCTGCGAAGTTTATACATAAGATCGTTTCCGAGATGCGGAGTAGACTCCACTCTTAACGCTCTTTCAATGGCCTTCCTTTCGAAACGGATTTCGCGCAACGCGATCACGCGAACGAGAGCACGTTGCGGCGACTTACATTCAGACAGGGATGCAAGCCCCGCTGCGCACAGCGCAGAGAGTGCCGGACAATGGGGAGGAATCGAGAGAGCGCGCGGCGTACCTGATAAGCGACCGCAACTACTAGCCCTGGGGTAGATCTCGGTGGAGATACAGCTTTATTTCATCAAAGGGACAATAACGGGGTCGCGATAACGTCGATTGCCATGTGGAGAGACGCGTTTTCGCCCTCTCCCTCCCCCTCCGGCATACGCGACGATTTGTGGTCCGAATAAAAATCTATCGGTCCATAAATTCCTAATTAACCGGAAAGAGTCTCGCTAAGAGGGTATACAATATTGAATTATAACGTAAAAACGATAGTATTCTTTTATCAGCATTTTGACAGCGTCAAAATACTGCGCAATGTATTTGTCAGTTTAATTCCATTAAATTATCTGCACTCCGCAACTTTTCCTTTGGGGAAAAATTAATATCGATAATTTGTCTAAATTACTTTAAATTTTTACTTATTACTATTTGCCTGCATCACGTGAGGCCGCATCTTTTTATATTCGCCGTTACTGTAAAAGGTATAAAAAGATATTAAAATAAGGATAAGGATCAATATTATCCTCGATAAGGATCAATATTAGAGCTTGCGACTCGTTCGAGGAATGAACGGGAAGAACTATAGGAATTTATGGACAAGAGTGTAATTGAGCCATTCAGTAGACTTCACTTAAGGAAATATCGTGTATTTCAATACAGAGTGAGAAATTCCGAAATGCCTGTACGGGTCATTCGGTGTCACATCGATCTACCGCTGTGCCCCCCTCGGGGCGTCGCACTGGATTTAGCACGCGTCACCGCACGCAGCACAGTCTCGCATGCGAAATCCGACGCGACGCGTCTGTTTCCCTAATTCAGCCCTAATATTTCACTGCGTTAGCCATTAACATACATTCCACAAATTACAATATATTCGTCAACGTACCCGTTCTAATCGGAAATTAAACGCAACGACACGAGAATCCTATATTCGATTATGACTACGCGAAAAGAACGGTTTTTTTAGGCGTACAAAAATCAGGCCAGACACACAGATCTGAAAATTACGATGGACCGTTGAAATAATTATGTAGAATGCTCAAGAGTGATGATAATACCGCAAAAAGTTTTGACATGCCAGCAACCAGCCTGAACGTTCAAACCTGCGCCTTAAAAACACATGCACGTGCTTCGTGAAAATTGAAGTCGCTTTAAATTGAAATGATAACCGAGTTAAATAAAATCGAAATGTCAACAGATCCTAGATAATTGTTTTAATGACGCATCCAACGTAATTGTTTTTAGATCCTAATTTTTGTATATTGCGCCCACTTCAGCAAAACCGTTTTTTCCGCGTACAATCGATTATAAATAATGCAATCTGATTGAACAAATCGACGAAAAAACGTTCTTTTAAAACAGCCTCAAACACTTTCGACACATCTATATAACGTCAAACGAAATCAGTGATCAGATGAACGAGAGTATCGAAGGGATACAATATCATTACATCATGTAATGTACTATTTAATTTACTGAAAAGATCATAGCAAATAAAGAAACAATGTGGCTTAAGTTTCCCCTTCTTGGCAATTTCTGTCAAAGCTGAAGAGAAACAAATTCTATTCTACAATGTGTGTCGCTTAAGTAATAAAATAATTACGATCGAGAATATATTTTTGCATAATTTAATTCTATGGTTCTTGAAAGTACCAGACTGACTCGTTTGTCATGTAAATTTTGCTTACGTTTTTCTTATGTGACGTGGCTTTAATACGTGATGTGAATTTTCTTTCACATCATGAATTGTTTCCGAGTGTAGCAAATACATACGCTATACTAGCTTTTTTTCCGCGCGTTTCCCCTCGAGTTACGAATTTTCTGATAAATTGGAATGTTTCAGAGTGAGAATTTGACAAGAAAAGAATAAAACGGATATCAAAATTGATTTCCTCGTCTATCGAGTTCCAGTTTAAGTCATATTTTAACTAGATCATTCCGTTGCCATAATGATCTTCAAAAGATGATGATCTAATATATGTACACAGAAACGCTAATATATGTTCATTCGAATTTCGTCAACGAATTTATAATGAAAGATTTATGGATATATAATGGAGATTTATAATACAAAAAAATCCGTGGTTTTTTTAAAACGTTCTGCGCGTACATTTATAAACACTGATATTTTTTTGTCCTCCAAAAAAATTAGAAATATAGATACGTAATGTTATCTCTTCCCCCGAGACAACATCGCGTTAGAAATCGGTTGCAGTATTCGGGGAATGCAATACTGGAAAAAAAAAAAAAAAAAAAAAAAAAAGAAAACGCAGTCCTCGAGCGTTGACGCCAATAATCATGCATTTATTGCACCGAAAATTCATCCAGTACTTCTGCCTCGCTTCCGAATTAACGCACTCTCTTAGAACGCGTACTTTGACAATGATCCTTAAATCTTAACTACACAATTATTATGCTCGGTGTGATTTCTTGTAGAAACCGTTCTTAAACCTATTACATGATGTGCGACAATTAGTCGTCTTCTTACTTATACCTGCATCTACATCGTTCGTCGCCATGCGTCTCGGTGGCCTCCTCCACCCCCTCCCCGAGTCGATGAGTAATTCTATAACATGAGATAAGCAGCATCTCGGCTAAAGCTATCGTCCTGTTTCCATGATTACTATTTTTACGATTTTCTTTATTCAACGATATTGTTTTAGAAAAAAAAAATTAAAGACTCTTGCCTTTAAATTTCTTCTACCTTTCTGATTTGAAAGTCGCATTTAACTGACAATAAGATTAGAAATACTGAAGTAAAATATTGAAAGACAAGATTAGATTAGGAGAAACGATAAAATTAACTTCGATCTTTTATGCGTCGCGTCACACTTTTCCTAATTTTTTTTATCATGCGTTGGCTCTGAATTTGGTTCCGTTTTTTTCAATCCATATTGATGAAATATTTTTTATCTAATTTAGCGAGTGTATTATGTGGCCTCCAAGAATTCTTTCTTACACATAAAGAATTTGAATGTAAAATGTCAAAAATGAAAACAAAAGAACATACCCCACGTTGACTGTGATAACCGTGCTGTGGTGCATTCTGGTAATTGTTCCGTGAGGACTGCTGATTATAATTATCGTAATAATTACGATGGTGCTGATACTCCGAAGAAGAATAATTCTGGCGCATACCATAACCGGACGGTCCACGCATGTGACTCGAGCCGGCGCTGTTGTAACCGTATCCCGATTGGTGGCGCCGATAACCTCCTGAAAACAACAATATATGCAGGCACACGTTAGATATGCAAAGGAAAATTCTACATGTATATATAATATATATATGTATATATATATTTGCGCATACAGAAATATAGCCGAGCGGCAATAAAGACCCGAAAAGTATATCCGGCTTAGGATTTAATCCCTTAATAAATATTGCCGCGAATTAGTTGCGTCGAGAACGCAGTTATTCTCAATAATTAACACGGGGAAGGGGGCACGTGAAGGGGGACGGGCGCGGGCGCAATATAGCCGCCTAGATGAATGGGAGCGTGCCGGCGCGTGTCCCTAGTTCCCAAATAATATGCAGAGCGTGCGTGGGACGCTCGGTGGACGTCACTCGATAAGCACTCGGCCGCGCCGTGAAACGTCATAATAGCGCTACCAGAGCCTATCGTTAATAAGGGATTTTCGAAGGCGCACTTCGACGGCGGGGGGAAGGAGAACGAGGTATGCGGCGCGCACGCACGCACGCACGCTCTTTCGACGCGTCCGTCAATATCTACCCCTGTTTCCGGTTTAAATCGTTTTTTTTCCAATATTGCCGTCCTCGAAACGTCGGATCCCCTCGCGCGCTCCTCTCTCTCTCTCTCGCAAGTCGACAGAGAAAACAAAAATTGGTAGCGGATGTAATAATGATCGCGCTGACAAAAGGACAAAATACAGCGCGTAGCCGCCGATCCACCGTGACTTCCCGCGATTTTGAATATTCATAGCCCTCGAGCGTTCGAATTGCGAGAGATAGTCGCTGCTTTATGGTTGCACCCGAGGTAAGGGAATCCGGGGATACTAGGAAACATTTTTGTTTGATGTGTCACCGCGGATGGAAATCGATTTTAATTGAATTGATGCGCGCACGTTCTTCAGTTAATTAACAGCTAACAAAGTAGAGATCACAGATTACTTTGATGGAACTTTAAAGCAATCACACGTACAGAAATTTTAATCGTAACCCTGAAGTCTTAAGCATACTGATCAATCACAGTTGAACATTTTAAAACGCAAGACCGCAATTTTGATCGTGATTGGTCAATTTGCTTACGGCCTTATGATTATGACTAAAATTTTTGTACGTGTGATGGCCTTTATAGTGTCGGTCCACAATAAGACTTTTAAGCCTTACACCGTAAGATATTGACCAATTACAATCAATTATTCTCCTCATTCGACTACGATTGGTCTATTTCTTATTACTTAGAGCTTAAAATCCTTATTGTGGACCGACACTTAGGATTCGCTTGCACGCGGAGGATGCGCAGCGTGCGTCAAAATTGGAAGAATAGCGATAAATGAGAATTTCCCCTTGGTGCGCTATCGCGAGATAAATTCGATGCAAAAACTGACCGGAGAACAGATCGAAGGAGACGGTGAGAAACACTCTGTATTGTCCGGCGATTTCTCCGCTCGGTGCTTTCGTCGCTTTGTCACCGTACCACGGTACGATACTCCGACGCCAGCAGCATTCGCGCCAAGCGTCGCTATATAACTCTTTAACCCGCGGGATTCAGCGCCGTGTACAAAGGCTGTCACTGACGCACGATAATCGTATAGTTTGGTGCAATCGAGCTCGTAATAGGAGTCGGCAAACACCGTCGATATCATCGAAGGTCGAAGGGGGGCGATCTCGCGCGCGTTTGAATGCCGGTTATAGACTCCTAGCGTATCTATACGAGAGAGAGAGAGAGAGAGAGAGAGAAAAAGAGAAAAGGAGAGTACGTTACCCTTTCCCTTCCACCCCACCGTTTCCTCTCATTCTTTCGTAGCAACAATAACATCCCCCGTAGATTCCAGGCGGCCCGCGCGCCCAACGATTCCGATCCCCAACGGTAATCCTCACCCACAGCCACCCCGTTAGGGGAAAGGAAGGAGGGTTTAACAGTTTACACGTCGGATCATCCCTCGTTATTGTTGCGTTTATGATAATAACGCACCACTACGGCCGCTGCGGCTCGCGCGCGTTGCTCGACTCGTTTCCCCATGCAACCCTATCGCGAAACCAAACTCGTATGTACCAAATCACCTATGCTCAGATGAGTAGTTAATTAAGACTCCGTACGTTCGCCGAAATCCATCGTGTTAATCCACGAGCGCCAATATTAATTAATCAGGGAGTAAACCTAAGGAATGACTAAATGAATTTAGATCCTCATAAATTATTCTGCAATACCTTCAAATTAGTGCAGTAAAATGCATATAACGAAAAATGTTTCTTCAGTATAGAAAAACCGAGATCGCAAAATGTACGACACAACTTTATTAAGATTTAATTTAGGAGAGAACGGGATTCTTTTCCGGTTGCAAAATGTTTTCGAGAAAGTTACTAAAAATATCTTTCTTCTCAAGTTATAGTGCGTAAGAGATTCAAAATTAAAGAAGTATACAAACAAATAAATATAATTACGCGATATAAGTACTGCAGAATATTTTGTGATTCAGTCGAAATCGAAGAGTGATTATTTTTCTATGTATCAAGTAAACATAATTAGTAATAGAAACAACAAAATCGACGTTTGTCCAAAATAAATCATCGGCAACTGCGTACGCAGTTAGATGACTCGAGAATCATTAGATACGAAGAGGGAGGGGAAGAAAATGGATCGTGCGTCCAGTTACGAGACGCAGGAACTTCCGCCGGGTTCGTGTCGGAGATACGAAATTGTATTGGGAGCCAGACGGAAAGGTATCGGGGGCCCGAGAAAGAGGGACGATTCGTTCATATGTACGTATACGTGCTACAGTGGGGTACCTACTCGCTATGGGTATTGGATTGGATTGGATTGCCGCGTCAGCAGTACAAACACTCAAAACCTCGATGTGGGTCGGCCTCTCCCGTTCCTGTTTCAAACTGAAATTACACTTTCCCGTCCACCACGTTCGACCTGCCACAATATATAGCCACGTTTTCTCCCCCTCTCCCCTCCCTTGGCTGCGTCTTTTGTCCATATCGAGAGCTTATAAATGGTATTCGCGAGCCTCCCTCTTACGTCTCTCGATTCTTCAATGACGAACTTGTCTTTAGATATCGTTTTAGCCCCAACGCGAGCCTTCACTTTACCGGTTTTCTACTCCGTTTATGACTTTTTACCTTTTGTGTAAATAAAAGCGGTATTTTTAACTGACAATTTTTCGATGGGATCGAGAAAGAAACAATGTTTGCACGTGTTAAAGTGAAAATTTCACAAGTGACTTAAAAAATAATTTAAAAAATTACAATGCCAGATTTTTCAAAACGTTCGTCACATTGTGACGCTGAGTACCATCTATTTAAAACATTTTTTCTTCAGTCATATTCAAAATAAATGCAGGAGTAACATGCCGAAAACTTGATATCGATTTCGAGACACGAATATTGATTAAAGCGCATATATTTAAAAAACGCAGAGCTTTTTTCGGTTAATGCAAGCGGATGCAATTGATTAATTGTGAATTAATTAATTTGAGAAGCGTAAATATCATATTTCGATTTCTACAAAACGATTTAATCGTAGGGAAAGCAAAGTTAAAATCGTGATTATAATTTATACATATTAATTACGTGAATTATTTCGTGAATTACGTGAATTTCGACGAAGCACTCAGTCATCATGAACGCCGATTTTCGAGATAGCCGGACAGTTAAAAACCTTGACCTCCGTTCTTTTTTTAGAAATCGCCAACCTTTCCTTCTACGTACACATTATTCCTATGAAAGCAGTTCTCTCCCGATCTTATGTGCTTACGGTGGGTGTAGGCAAATATTGTACAACACGTGTAAGTAAAAGGCATAGGCTACATAAACGTTCCCTTCTTTCTCTCCACCTTGTCCTCCTTTTATGCAGAAGCATGTACAGAGCATCTCATCCTATCGATGGACAGACGTGGACAAGTTGAATGGAATTTCTTTTTTTTTTAATTTTTCATCGTATGCACGACGGACAAATTATCGTAATTGTTAGCCGCAAATTTACGTGGCTTATCCAACGAGGCAAGAAGGTAAAGAGGTTATCCAGTTATGTTTGTTCAACAGAGTTATTTTCGCGTTTATAGAATTTTTATCGAGCTCCAGTTTCAAATGCGTCTAACTTATACAAAAGAAAGGAAATTATCTAGTCAAGCAGAGACAGGGATTCGATAGAAATATGTTGAAGCGAGTGTATTTTACGAAAGGAGGACCCAATCGATGCAATCAGGTCTCTCGATCGGTTTAAGAGCAATATAATTTGCGTGCAGCGTCATCAAAACAGCTCGCTCGAAAATCACTAAATTAGAAAGCGTCACCGAGGATGCTTGCGGTGATTACGCTGCTTATATATAATTATTTTACGTAATAATTATCAACTCGCTAATTTCAAACCTTTCTTACTCAGAAATCCGGATCAGCGAAGCTTACGTGCGTCGTCAACAATAAGAAGAAAATAAAAGGGGGGTGATGTGGGGAAGGGGGATGAGGGAAGAGAGAGAGAGCCCGCATCTACGAACTACCTGGCTGCAAGAACAATGCGTACACGTTCTCTCCCCCATAAAACTCAGCACCCAATGGTACAAGATGGCGCCACCACCAGGCCAAAGTACCACTCGGGCGATTTCCGGTGGCTTTGTTCCGCCCACCACTCTTGCGGGACACGGAGCGGGAGAAGACGGAGAGGTAGGAGGGGAGGAGGGATCGATGGAACCCGGTGGCTGAGGCGCGCCTTTGAGGCCACCGCATACTCGCGATGCGTGTGCGCGAAATATAAAAAGGCTTTTCCTCTATGAAGCCAGTTAGTCAGGCAGGCAGTAATTTTTCTGCTGCGCTTCTCGACGTGTCGCCCTTCCGTCCCCATCCGTCTCTCATCGCCCTCGAGCCGCCCTTCTGCTTCACGAGAATATTTCAGCTTCTTCGTCTTCGCCTTCATCTTGATCTTCAGCTTCATCTTCATCCCTTTGTTTTCGTCTTTATCTACATCACCATCATCATCTTCGACTTTGTCTTCGACATCGTCTTCAAATTTTGCCTTGGTATTCGGTCT